CCACTCGAGTAGGGTTGCTGGGTGTCCGGTTTTCTACCTGACAGTCCACCCTGCCTTGGCTTCTACATACAACCAGAGGCTCCCAGCTGGGAGCCTCTGGTTGTATGTAGAAGCCAAGGCAGGGTGGACTGTCAGGTAGAAAACCGGACACCCAGCAACCCTACTGTAGTGGGAGTTGTCTACGGGCTCTGCAGGGGGCGGGGGAGCAGAATTTTTTCTGATCTTTCCACAGCACACCTCTGACTGCCTTGCGGCACACTGGTGTGCTGCAGAACACAGTTTAAGAGATGCTGATATATATTAAGTGAGAGGGTTTCTGTGCAGCTTTGAAACTGTGATGTATCCCACATCCTCCCTCCTCCCCATCCCCACCATGTTTGGTTCTGATCAACTGAAGGTAGCATTGCTGTATGCCAAATAAAGTTACCTGAGTGGTGAAGTCTGGAGTCGGAGTGAGTTTTTGGGAAGCTGAGTGGAAAGAGGCCTTGAAGGGAATCCGAACAAAAAACTTTGTGCTTTTTTTTATGTACTACTTTAGAACTTATGAACATTACAAAGGGTGGTGTCCAGTATGTGTAAAGAAAATGTCTGCTTCTGGCTAAATAGGTTTTTTGACCTCTCATACAAACTGATTTGAATCTTGTGACTCATTTGTTACACTAACTTTTCAAAATATCCTCCTCAAAAACAGATTTTACATTTTAGATTGATCTGATAATGATTTTGCAGATAATGCACAGTTCTAGAGATTATAAACTTCAGTAGGATTCATTAGAGTAAATCTTTGCAAGATCTATATTCATAATGTAATGATGACTCTTGTGTCTTTGGGAGCTAAATTTAGCTAAAATCTATTTACTTCGGTGCCATTCAAAGCAAAAGCCTTCAATTTTTCATGTCTTTGATGGAATGTCTTTGTTACAGAAACCAAACGTTTTTTTTTATTTTAGTTGAATGTGACCCGTGAGACACAAAGTTGTATCATGCATTCTAGGTTTCCAATTTTTTCATTAAAACAATAAACAGAATAGAGTGAACACTGCTTTAAGTTAAACATTTTGATTGTTATTATTTGGATCTGATATTTTGCTTCATTCAAACTAAATATCAGAACCCATAGATTTTAAATGTGGTTGTATTTCTTTAATCTTTCAGGCAAAAATTGTCCTTGATACCTTAGTCACAATGTTCAGTGAATATTGTGAGAAGCAATTCACGTGAGTAGTATAATCCTTCACTGTCAATGAGATTAAACTTTTTGGTCAAACCACACATTTTACACGCTTACTTTTTTCTCTCAGTGTTGAAGCAGCAGAAGTAACTTATTTTAATGGAAAAACCTGCATCTATCCAGTAAGTATTCTAAAGGTGACAATGGAGGGGAAGTAGGACTGTTAATGTTGTTTG